GTCAGAGACTGCAGACATGATATTAGAGATGGTCAGAGACTGTAGACACGGTATAAGAAATGGTCAGAGACTGCAAACATGATACAAGAGGCAGTTAGAGGCTGTGGATATAATGCAAGAGATGGTTAGAAACTGCAGACATAATGCAAGAGATGGTTAGAAACTGCAGACATAATACAAGAGATGGTCAGAGACTGTAGACATGGTACAAGAAATGGTCAGAGACTGCAGACATGATAAAAGAGATAGTCAGAGTCTGTGGATATAATGCAAGAGATGGTCAGAGACTGTAGACATAAAACAACAGATGGTTAGAGACTGTGGATATAATACAAGAGACATTCAGAGACTGCAGACATGATACAAGAGATGGTCAGAGACTGTATATGTGGTACATCAGATGGTCAGAGACTGCAGAAATGATATGAGAGATGGACAGAGACTGTGGATATAATACATGTGTAACACACTGCACTAATACTGGTTGCAGGATGTTAATTAAACACAAGATGGCAGTGTGCTGTGGTTTACTTATCCAGACTTTTTTGAAGCAAAGCCTTGTTGAACTTGTATGCTGGGAGCAGGACTTCTGCACTCAGACAAGGAGTGAACAGACTACATTTCCCAGAAAGCTGGCAAAGGGGCAGAGGACGTGTGAGTGTGGAGAAGGCAGTGCGGGACTCCAGGGATCCAAGCTGGATCTGGCCACCTTGCACAGAAGGAAAGAGGGACTGCAAACCGCTGGTATCGAGCAGAACAGTGAATCCTTCAGGCAGGTGGAACATAGTGTTGCCATCGGCATTGCTTCTTAACAGAGGGACCCAGAGAACATTGGGGCCCACCCAACAGAGAGATTAGAGCTCAGGCTGCAAATACTACAAACTGGGTGACAGGGTTCCATACCCAGATTATCACAGGTTGTGACTGTGTTCATTTCAATTGTTCAGTTCAGTACACTTTACACCAAAGAGTATCACATTGAGACACAGACTGCCTAGCCCATTCAGTACTGCATCCTACTGCTTTAGTGTCTCACTATCATCCTGAAACCACAGGACTCTGGCTACAGCACGTGCTCCATGCAGACAGGATTACACCAGTATTTAATTTCAAGCCTCTTCCAGCTCCCAAGGAACTTGCTTCACCAGACCAGTTCACTATCCTTAGAGGTTCAACCTCTGCTGAAGTTTGCTTCTGCCCCTTGCTTCAATTCTAGCCAATCCTTGCCTTCATCCTCTGTGTTAAAGTGACCTTACTCAGTTTCAACACCACTCAAAGGGGGAATCTTCATGTGGCTATTCAATCTTGAGGAAATCTTGCTTTTACACAAGAAGTGATTTGAACCTTAATGTGCACCAACTAGGGACCCATCAAGTGTGTAGAATATTTGTCACCATTGTTATGAGACACAAAAAGGGGACATTACTGCTTATAACAAAAGTGTTCATCTCCAGAGTTAAACCCAGTTACTTGCTGTTGAGAACCCAAAAGTGAGTTAGCCTAGCATCTTGAGAGCTCACTTCATCTCATTTAGGGAAAGATATCTCAGGGCTTGGAATTGATGTTTAAGTTCTGATCCTTCAGGACATTTGGGTTTGCTTAAAGTGATACTGTGCTCCATTATTTTCTTGGATCTTTTAGAGTGTTTCATTTTTATGCACATCTACTGTCATTCTTATTGTGCTTGCACTCTCTATATTCTGACCTTAATACAATTAGAATTTTTACTCATCTTAAACTGTGTGTTTATTTTATTGTTGAAAGCCAGAGAGTCCTCCTGGCCAAGGTTTCATGGTGGTGTCAGCAGGGGCTGTACTTCCAAAACAGGCTCAGAACAGAGAACCCAAAAATCCTCAGCGCTCTTAAGGGGGTAATGCTACACAAGAGATGGTCAGAGACTGCAGACATGATACAGGACATCGTCAGAGACTGCAGATACAGTAGAGAAGATGGTCAGAATCTGTGGAGGTAATGTGAATTCATGCAACGAAAAAAAAGCAACGCTCTTATTGGTATTCCATATAGAAGTTGGGAAGATCAGTGTTCAGGCTCGCAGTGCCTTCAGTAACACTCATGGAACATAATGCAAAATATAATATGGCCAGCAACACCGTAACATCCAATTGTGGTTATGTTTATTAGCTTGAAGGTGCGCACAGCACGTATACATTTATACATGTCGGCTGTGAGTCCTTATGATTAGCCATTTGAACTAGGCCTTAGGGTTCAATAAGTCTATCAACAGCTTTCCCAATAAGTAAAATTGGGTTTGCCTCTTTTGCTGCATGTAATGTGAATCACCTCAGTAGAAAGTGGTTCTATTCAGAAGCTTTACACTGTTCTCAGAAAACATAAGCAAGAGTGTATACCTCAAGAGTGGTCCTCATGGTGTTCCTAGCAGCTCTAGGGTAGTTGATTCAAATCATATCCACAGCACTAAATTAACCTAAATTGACCCTATTATGTGTATGTACGAATGTGAGTTAGGGATCTTAGATTGTACGCCCCTTAGGTTAGGGACTGATGTGAATGTACAATATATACACTATATTGCCAAAAGTATTGGGCCAGCCCTCCAAATCATTGGATTTAGGTGTTCCAATCACCTCCATGGCCACAGGTGTATAAAATCAAGCACCTAGGCAAATGCAGACTGCTTCTACAAACATTTGTGAAAGAATGGGTCGCTCTCAGGAGCTCAATTAATTCAAGCATGGTACCGTGATAGGTTGCCACCTGTGCAACAAGTCCATCCATGAAATTTCTTTACTACTAAATATTCCACACTGTGGAAGCAGCTGGGGACAACCTCAACTCAGCCACGAAGTGGTAGGCCACGCAAAATGACAGAGCAGGGTCAGTGCATGGTGAAGAGCGTAGTGGGCAGAAGTCGCCAACTGTCTGCAGAGTCAATAGCTAAAGACCTCCAAACTTCATGTGGCCTTCAGATTAGCACAACAACAGTGCATAGAGAGCTTCATGGAAATGGGTTTCCATGGCCAAGTAGCTGCATCCAAGCCTTACATCACCAATTACAATGCAGATCATTGGATACAGTGGCGTAAAGCACACCGCCACTGGACTCTAAAGCAGTGGAGACGTGTTCTCTGGAGTGACGAATCACGCTTCTCTGTTTGGCAATCCAATGGACGTGTCTGGGTTTGGCGGTTGTCAGGAGAACGGTTCTTGCCTGACTGCATTGTGCCAAGTTTAAAGTTTGGTGGAGGAGGGATTATGGTGTGAGGTTGTTATTCAGGGGTTGCCTTTGCCCCTTAGTTCCAGTGAAAGGGAACTCTTAAAGTGTCAGCATACCAAGACATTTTGGACAGTTTCATGCTCTACTTTGTGGGAAGAGTTTGGGGATGGTCCCTTCCTGTTTCAACATGACTGTGCACCAGTGCACAAAGCAAGGTCCATAAAGATATGGATGAGTGAGTTTAGGGTGGAGGAACTTGACTGGTCTGCACAGAGTCCTGACCTCAACCCGACAGAACACCTTTGGGATGAATTAGAGTGGGAAACTCTGAGCCAGATGTTCTTGACCGACATCAGTGCCTGACCTCACAAATGCGCTTCTGGAAGAATTATCAAAAATTCCCATAGACACACTCCTAAAGCTTGTGGACAGCCTTCCCAGAAGAGTTGAAGCTGTTATCGCTGCTTAGGGTGGGCCAACTCAGTACTGAACCCTACAGACTAAGACTGGGATGCCATTAAAGTTCATGTGTGTGTAAAGGCAGACATCCCAATACTTTTGGCAATATACTGTAGTGTATATGTAAAGTGCTGCAGAAATTGAGTACCTGTTCCCAACCAAACTGTCAAGCCATCAAATGGCTGGTGTCATAACATGATCACATGTGCAGCACCATGGCAACTGCAGATCAAACAGAGGCTAAGATAGCAGCTTCCTTGGCTGTAAAATATAGGAATGGTTATTTCTTGATAGCAAGCCTTCTATTGAGAGTGCCCTCTGTTGGCTAATCGACAAATCTCCACATTGAATTCATGAATAAAATACTGTATAACACCAAAATAAATATAAATAATATAAATAAATGCTCATGGAAAATACACTATACTTTTCCTTTAATGCAATTCATTGACCTGAAGAGGGTGTTGTGTATCAGAAAGAATGTGCCACATCAAGCAAGACGAAAGGAAAGCTTTCCAAAGTCTTAAAAAAATGTGTTAGGAACAGAAAAAGTTACAGATATTTTCCTATACTACATTATTTAGCTGTCATCACTACAAACATTAATACCCAGCACAACTGTAAGAGAAGAAATTTACAGAGCCTGCAGATAAGTCCCTGGGACTCAAGAAGGGACTCTAGAAATGGCTCTTCAGTACCTGTTCATACGTAACTGCATTTGCTGGTCCTGTATAATACAAGCAACTGCAAACTTGGTCTAAAAAAACATTCTGTCCCTACAATAATTAGGTCCAGAGTCAGCTAAATGCTGAGACCAGGGGAGGCTGAGACGAGGGGGTGCTGCAGCTGCTCAGAGAGGTGCGGGATATGTAGGAGCAGTTCTGTTCTCCCTGCTGCCGATTGCTGAGACAAGGTGAGGAAGGAGACAAAGGGGTGTGCCTCGGCTTCAGGAGAGGTGCGAGGGCCACATAAAATGGCCTGGAGGGCCGAATTCAGCCCACAGGCCTTGTGTTTGACACGTGCTGTAGAAGATTTTTAGAAGGCTTCATTTTAATATGGTTGTTGCCTACATTCTTTGAACTGAAATGCAGCCATGGTATGGAATGGCACAGTATGCTTTTTGGTAAAGGTGAACTTACCTTATACGGTTATGGAAATATTAGAATCTCTGTTTATCTAAATGTCTTATTGCCTAATAAATTGTCAGTCTGAGGCTTTGGTATTCATTTATAAACTTCCCTCTTTTTTCTGCTCATATAGTCTGCCACTCACAGTAGTCCCTTACATTCTTGTTATAATCACTGTGGAACCTAAGAGGTTAATCCTCTGCATTGTTTAAAAATGCTGTTTGATCCTGACTCCTCTAATCTTCCCCTTCTTTCAGTGCCCCCCTCTTATCTCCTGATAAGACATATCGTGTGGAGACACTCTGCACATGCTCAGGTTAGTGTGTATAGTTAGAGAGGTTTTTTTTTTTCTTGGGAGAGCGCATGTGATCAGCACAGGGCCCAATCAGCACTATCCAGACAGAGGTCAGGGCTCTGCATCCTCCTAGAGCAGAAAGCAAATTCCTCCTACAAACTTTAACCAGTGCTCTGCTGAACACTGCTAGAAGCCACAAGACTGCTCTAACTGCTGATGAGAAAAGATATTTAGCATTTTAGATTTACTGAAATAATTGCATTTCCATGTTCTGTGTACCGTTGGAGACCAGACATAGTGAATGCAGGGTCCTCCTGGGTTTAGTAACACTTTAACAACAGCCTCTCCTCCCCTGTATAGACTTTAGTAGCATCACATATACTGAATATTATGTGCAGTCCCTTTTCTGGGGCCCACTCCCAGGCTACACAGCAGCACTTCACCAGTCCACTCGACTCCCCTGCTGGCCAGGCTCTGTCATATTTATGGGCTGGTCGGCCACACTGCCAGACCTCCTGCCTGGGATTGGTCAGAATCCCATAAATATGCAAATAAGCCCCTCCTCACCTCTGCCTACTGACTTCTAGAAGCTCCTCCAAGCTTCTAGAGCAAGGGGTGGTACCAGAGGCCCTCCTAACCTGAAATAATCCTCTGACTCACCCATACTTCTACCAAGCCTCTAACTACTCTCAACAACCATGTACGCTAGAAGGCGCTACATCTGTAAACACAAATGTTTTGCCTTTTATTTCTAATTTAAACTGAATGGGTTGTTTTACAAGGTGAGGGTTTACATATACTTTAAAGCTGTATTAAACCCCAAAGAAAACATTTATTATATTGTAGCTTACCAATTCTTAGAAGTGATAGCTACATTCGTTTTCTTTTTTAAGCTTTGTTTTGTCCATTTTCATTTGGTAATCCAGCCAGTAAGTCTATTGTTTTTAAAAGAATAAACTCTTCTGCAAATGTATCAGTTTACAGGGATGAGACAAACCAATCACCATTGGCAGGGTGTTTATAATGCTCAGCTTTTATTTATTCATGCAAAACCGTTATCCCAAAAGAAAAAGAACTGTTGTTGCAATTGCTTATAAAATATTAGTTGGAGTTTGGCTTCAATTTGTTAGTGTATCAAAATCTATGAGTACATCTAACACTTCCCTTCCCCCAGACTGACAGTTCTGCTGTCCAAAGGAGCCCCCTGTGCTCATCCAGAGTGGGGGCACTCTAATACATGTGGTGTGTAACTAGCCAGGTCACCAAGTGAAAACACATGGGAAAAAGTCTAAAAAACAAAAACTCATGTGGCCACCAAATCTAAGGATTGGTAAGCTGCAATACATACATTTTTAGTTTTGGGTTTATTACCACATTAACCTGCAGGGGGCTATTTTAAAAAAAAATTTTTTAACAGTTTAATATCGCTTTAACTTAAAGTGGAGTTCTACCCAAATGTGGAAGCTCAGCTTATCTGACTCCTCCACCCCTCCGCTGCCACATTTGGCACCTTTGGGGGGGGGGGGGGGGGGTAGTAGGTACCTGGTGTTGACAGGTACCCACTCCCACTTTCAGCTCAGTTTGCTGCAGTGAAATTAGCTGGACGTTCGGCCCACTCCTTCCCTCGTAGCCCTCTGGGGCAATTCACAGGTCCCAGAAGACTGTGACCCATTCACAGCGCAGTAGGAGACCAGCAGTGCAGACGCAAGGCTTCACTGCTGGTTCCCCTCACCCTAGGTTCACATCTGTGCGGGTGGTGCCGCTGTGGATCCGCATGAAAATCCGTGCAGCCGCACCACCCACACAGAGAAATGCGGACTCGCGGGTGGGTGCCATTAGTTCTATTGGCATGCCGCCCGCGCTGGAAAACGCAACCGAGGTTCCCGTATGGGCTGCGTTTTCCAAAGTTCTTCTTCCCTGCGTGTCACGGGCAGGGGTTTTTCAAGTGCTTTCAAGCGTTTTTGTGTTAAAAAAGAGCCTGAAAAGCTCAAGAAACCTGCTTCCCTATGTATGTGAATGTATATCTATGTATGTTTTCACGCTGAGGCGTTGCACTTGCGGTGCAGTGTAAAAACTCCTGCTTGCAGCATCTTTGCGGCATGTTTGGGGAGTTAAAAAAAAACGCCCCAAAAACGCCTCTTCCCATTGAAATCAATGGAAAACGCCTGAAAAGTGCCTTAAAAGTTCATCAAAGACGCCTCTGAGTAGCATTTTTGGTGCAGTTTTTAAGTCACGTGTCCTTTAAAAAATACCCAGAAAGCCCGGCAAAAGCACCGTAAAAATGCCTATGCGTTTTTGCTGTGTTTTTGCAGCAGATCATTGTGAAAGTATCTTTCAGCAAAATGGTGATGCCAGCACTCGATAGCCAATTGAAGAATTGACTTGGGGTGAAGACACCGCTGGATCCCTGGACAAGTAAGTGCCCTAATATTAAAAGTCAACAGCTACAGTATTTGTAGCTGCTGACTTTTAATTTTTGGGAGTGGGGCAGGATTCCGCTTCAACAGCCACAGGCCTATTGCCATACACAAGCACTTGGCTTTTATTTGCACAAGCCTTAAAGGATAAGTTCAACTTTTCGACAAAAATAATACATGCACATTTTTTTGCAGGTAAAAAAAAATGTGCATTTATTATTTTTGTCCAAGGGAGCCTGGAAAGCATTGCGCCAGCAATCAGTAGATCACTGGTGCCATACAGGTCTCCTGCAGACCTGTCAGAATTTCTGTTAGCCATATGGGATGTATGGTCAAGCAGATATACTGACAGGAAGCCTCAATGAACTACCACAGTGCTCCACAACGCCGTGGTAGTCCATTGAAAACTACAAGCCCACGGGCGCTAAGAATGTCAGGACTTGCAGTTCATTTATTCACGGAAGTCTGTGAATGAATGACGTGGCTGTGTGGGCGGAGCCTGCACGGCCACGCTATTTTCAAATCTGGCAGATAATACAGGGAGACTGCTCCCCGCACTGTCAGAGGGAGGGGGTGGTGGCGGGTGTGCCTGCAGCTATGGGAACATGTTCCACCCTAAAAATGAGTGGAACATGTAACATGTTCCCAAAGGTGAACTTATCCTTTAAATTTAATAATAATAATTATATATACAAGTATATAAATATCTTGTATCTCTTTTTTTATAATAATAGGTAACTGTTCTAAACTAGGTTTACTAGTTCATTTCATATGTGATTTTGTTTTCTAAGTGTGAGTAAATGCCTTCTTTACTACACGCGGCAGACAAAGGCAGAAAACATGCCCTGAAATCAATGCCATCTCTTGCTAAATGTAGATCCACCTAAGTTTGCAAAGCACTGTTTCTGCCCACTGAAGCTGCCAAAAGCAGCCACAGAACTAGAGCTGGCATGGCTAGAAGGAAATGCTGCATGCTTGTGGTGGAACAGACAGGGGAATGTTTGAGAGTGGAGCCACTGGGACAACACTCAAGTTCAGGTTGGCAGCAAACAAAAATTGTTACCATCTGGAAGGTGTTCAGAGAGGGATCTTTGAGAAATGTGCCGTTGGGTGGAGGGAGAGCTCCTTAGAAGTGTTTTTCTATTCAGCAGCCCATGCTTGGAAAATCTTCCCTGTCACAGCTGTATGGAGACTCCAGTGTTCTGCAATGTCTGTTGCTCTCTGAATTCTTAACTTCCAATTCGTAAGATATCAGCAGGAAACAGGAAATCCAGCAGAACTTACTATGGAAATGTAAAGCCAAACACTGAAACATTGCAACCTGTAGACTTACACACAGCAGTGTGTACATGATTAAAACCACTGCATTTTGAATATTAAAAGGTCACAACTGACAGTTACGCATGGATTCTAAAAAAGGGCCTATCTCCCAACTATTTGGGACCCTGATGGTGGAGATATATACATGCACCTATATCCCAGCTAGATGGGGATGGGAGGAAGATATATTTTTATTATTATTATACAGTATTTATATAGCGCCAATAGTTTGCTCAGCGCTGTACATTACAATGGGAGACAATACATGAGACAGTACAATGACAATACAGTATGATACATGAGGGGTTGAGGGCCCTGCTTCTTGGAGCTTACAATCTAGGAGGGAGGGGATAGTGGTACGAGAGGAAAAGCTGTGGGGGATGGAGTGGTGGGAAGAGAGGAGGAGATCGGCAGTTAGCAGGGGGCGGGGTAGGCTTCCCTGAAGAGGTGGGCTTTGAGGGTGCGCCTAAAAGAGAGGAAAGTAGGTGATTGTCTGATAGATTGGGTAGGGAGTTCCAGAGGATGGGTGATGCCCTGGAGAAGTCCTGGAGGCAGGCATGGGAGGAGGAGACAAGGGAGCTAGAGAGAAGGAGGTCTTGTGAGGAGCGGAGAGTGCGTTTTGGGTGGTATTTGGATATTAGGTCGGAGATGTCGTTTGGGGCGATAATATGGACAGCTTTGTACGTCAGTGTTAGCATTTTGAATTTAATCCATTGGGCAATTGGGAGCCATATAGATATAGGCCCTCTAATCACTTGCCCACCGCCCTATAGCAGAAACACTGCTACAGGGCAGCAGGGCTGCGCAAAATCACATATATATACGTGATTTTGTATTTCTGGGTGGGGGGACACGCCCTACCCGCTCTGCCATTGGCAGCTTCAGCTGACGATCACCAGGTCCCGGCCGGAGATTCCTCGCCAGCACCCAGTGATTGCCTGGGTGGGAGAGGTCTGTATGTAAACAATACAGATTTCTCCCCCGTCAGCTCCTGCATGCTGCTTTGGATTGCTCTGCATAGCAGAGCAATCCAAAGCAACATGCTTATACTGTAAAACACACACAGCACACAGTAAAACAGCACACAGTTACAGTAATTCTTTGATCACCCCAGATGTTAAATTTTCCTGCCCAATGTCATTAGTACAGTGTCAGTGCTTTTTATTAGCACTGATCACGTATTATTGTGACACCCTGGAGGAGTTGGATTGCCTGTGCAACCTCTGTGGGGTCCAGGTATCGCCTCATGCAACCAGCAGTGACACTGACCCTAGCCAAATGCAAAACTAGTGAACAACAGTCAGAAAAGATGAGTAGCGAATAAAATGTCAGTGGCCTCCACCTGTAAAACCATTCCTGTTTTGGGGAGTGTCTCATTGTTGCCCATCTAGTGCACCTGTTGTTAATTTCATTAACATCAAAGCAGCTGACATTGATTAACAACCCCCTCTGCTACTTAACTGACCAGATCAATATCCCAGGAGTTTCACTGACTTGATGCTATGCTATGATTA